GAGTACAGCCCCCCATGATATGGTCTAGGTTAGCTCTTTGTTGACAAAAAAAAAATGCACAAAGGGGAGGGGTATATCGCTGGGTGTATATGATGATGAAAAGATGGGGCAGGAAACGTACGCGTCTGTAACTGGCGTCATAGAATTTCATGGTAGCGCGAAGCTCCATGATGTAGGGGGGGGGGGGGGTATATAGTGCGCTGTAGGTGGTAGTGATTTGTTATATGGCGCAGGTCAAAAGACGATCTCTCGCGCTGAATAAGGTTGCGTAGTCTAAGGCTCCATCAGAGGCCTGCGCTCGGCCGGTCATTCCTCGAGCACAGGTATGAGCCGCCTCATTGCCACTCAACCCCGCATGCGCGGGCGTCCATATGAGAGCAACGTCTTGCGTGGGAGGAAGCTTCTTAAGAATTGAAAGGGCAGTTGATGAGATGCGGCCTGCGCTGAAGTTGCGTATGACAGTTTTGGAGTCACTTACAATCATGGTGATATTGGGGATGGATAGACCTAAAGCGATGGCAGCCTCCTCTGCCTCCTCCGAAGATTTGACAGTGATGGATGCCGTTGTGAGCGCCTTGCCGTTATAATCGATAGCAGAGAGCGCATAGGATGAGGAGGATGGGTATTCTGCCGCATTGACAAAGAGCAAGTCATTGGCTCCATGCCTTTTTTTCTGAAGAGCTTTTGCTCTTTGGATTCGACGCTTAGTGTGATATGTTGAATGCATGTTTTTTTAGGAAGGGGCGGTATGAGTAATTGTTTGTGTGTGTTTTGGGAAATGTTGTATTTAACATTGCTGAGTGAGGTGAAGTTAATTCGGGTAGATGATAAAATGTGGCGACCTGCGCTAGTGGTCGCGAGCCTTGCGTATTGAGCTGTTAAATGGGCTTCACGGATTTCACATGGGGTATTTATGACTCCTGTCTGGTGGAGTCGTGCGTAAGAGGTATTGATTGCAATGCCTAGCGCGTATTTGTAAACTCTGCGGAGGAGGGTGTTGATCCATTCTTTCTCTGCTAATTTAAGGTGAAGGTAAGGGAGGGTAGGTGGCGTTGGGGCGCTCGCTGCATCCGTCATAGCCGCCCGTAGCACCTCAGGTGGTCGAAATTTCCGGAGCCCTCCACCAAGGCGTCTCTCATATTCATATGGTGTTTTTTTGGGACGTTAAACCGCACATATCATATCAATCGTAGTCACCAGTGGCAAGGCATTGCATAAAACGGTGTCACAGCATATCCATAAAGGGAATGATGCTGAGGGGGGTGAAGCGTCCGTCTATGCGTCCATGTGTCTGTCCGTGCTTGAGTCCGTGCGTTCGTGCATCAGTCCTTTTGTGCTTCGGTGCGTCCGTCAGTCCATGCGTCCGTTCGTGCATCCGTTCGACCGTACGTCCATGAATCCGTCCGTGCGTGCGTCCTTGCATCAGTCCTTCCGTGCTTCCATGCGCCCATCCGTTTGTGCGTCCATCCATCCGTCCATCCGCTTCGCCCCACTCGTCATCATTCACCTCGTGGGTATGCTGTGATTTTTTAGCAGCGATGAACTTGAACCATTTTCATGAACAGGATAATTATATTCCTGTCCGGCACTATTAACAAGGCCGTCAACTATTTGATCGTGCCAACAATGGCAATACCGCAAACATCATTGGCCGTGTACCATCATGCGTAGACGCGCGTACAGTAGACGCCAACTTCCGTTTGTGAAGCAGCGCACGCGCCGATGTTAATTTCTTGTGCATACCACGGTATTACTCTGGTCCCTGGGATGTCAATTACTTGTTAAACAGTCAGAACTGTGGCGGGTCAAGCACAATGGATTCTTTAACGTGCTCTTATGTCTTCGAAAACGTGCGAACTCACTTCAGTTGAGAAATCACCGTTCTGTGCTGAACTTGGGCAGTTTAAAACTCAAGATAATGCAACACTGTGCGTCAGCATTGGACGCGTGGGCGTTGAAGCCGTCGGCGCATTCCAGTGGTTTGCACTTCCGGCACTGGTGTTTCGTCTCGGTTTCTCTGTTCCATAAATCCGCGTGTGACTACTAGTAATATTTATGTGAATGCCAATTTCCTCAAACCACGGTGTAGCCATAAGTGACACCGTATAGTGGAAGGCTTCGGAAGGTTCGACCACCTAAGGTTGTTTGACATGCGCCTTAATCGAAGTAGCCGGGTGTCAAGGGTTTTCGCCTTCATCGAAAATGCAGTTGCCGCGGCTGGCATTCTATCGTGCGACGTTCGGGTCAGCAGTGGAACACCATAACCACTGGACCACCATGGCGGGTGAACACTGTTGGTTTAAAGTGATCACGTCGTATGGTAACGTCGTGGTGTGATGATGATTGCTTTTCCCTTTCAGGGGCGAAGCTCTGAGGCGTCTCCGTTGGCGTTGTGCGCCATAGCCGCCGTTGACGATGACACTCATGGTGTTGAAGAACAACCGTGTTCTAGACCACACATTTCCTTTGTGCCATCACGGCACAGCACAGGCAAGGTACTCGTTATACGCCATGATGATAGTGCTGATGACGTTGATCACGCACAATGACTGACTTGTGCAGTAGAAGACGTCCAGATATGCTCGGCAATGAACTTCGGATAACTGTAAACAACCAACAACCAACAGGTGGACGTGCCCAGACTTCGTTTTTGTCAACTTCAGGCTGAATGAAATACCACAAAGAAGTGAAAATGAAGGCCAAACGAAATTCATAACTCAACACAACAAATAAGTAATTACCAATAAACATTGTACACAACTATACACTGCTCTGTCACTCATTCACGTGCATGAGTTGTCAATGCCACGGTCGATTTACAGTGACACCGAACGATAACACTGGGTGAATGTGCGCTCCAAAGCTCGCGTTTTGTTGTCACTTGATTCGCTGGCTCGAACGTACGAATTAGCCCTTCTGCGACGCATGGCGTTCACGCGAAAGGGAGCGTTGGTGTTGCAGGCATCCATACGGCCCGGCTAATGTGTATCAAACGTGGGACCGGCGTGACCACAACACGAAACATGAGGCGACGACAGGGGATTCCTTAAATTTCTGTATTCACATTGTGGAATGATGAGCAGAGCAACGAAAGTGCGTCTGGCTGGCCAACCAACGACTTTATCTGTGTAACTATCTTTGTCAGAGGCTCCTTGTCATTCATACGGTATCCTTAGTGCGTTAATTTCAAACGGCCAGTGGATTATGTCACGCGTAGTTGGTGGTTGCTGCTGTCTTCCAAAGTTGCTGTGACATCATGGTAAATCATACTCTAACCCTATGAAACTATCGTTTCATTGATTATAAGGAGCCTTTGACAGGACATGTTCACTCTTTGAGGCGTTGATCATCCCAGGTGAGTCGTGCATCTTTCTCCTCTTCTTTTCAATTAAAGGGATAAATGGGAAAGGCCTGTGGTATTGTGGCGGCACTGGCTGCGCCTTCTAGCCTATGACACAAATGCCGTAGCTCCTTTGGGAATGAGCAGAAGGAAGAGGAAATGGAGAGGCAGCACCCACAACTTGAACTGCTTCTTTGCAATTTCACATATGTTTACATGCACGTTCACACACAAACACGAGCGCGAGCATGTGCAAGTGTTGGTTGACACCTCCTCCCGAGAAGTATCTGTGGCTACACACCTGAGCTAAGGGTGGAATTCCTGCGGAGGAACTCACGCCACGGGAAAGTAATTTGATGACTATATAGGCACCTTTTCGTGGCTGGCGGCGAGCGGTGTGCCAGGTCGCCGTAAACAATTGCGCAAGTTCTGCACAATAGCGGCTCGTGCAGGCTTGATTCATCGCCAGCGCGGTACGTTGCTCACGGAGCAAATTGGCGCCCAGCGCACCGGAAGGAGCTACGCTCACGGCGGTACACAATCGAGCAAACATAGTGGCTGATCACCGTATACTGAGAGAGAGAGAAAGAAATTGAGCAGCAATAGAGGGAGAGAACGGTCATGACGTGTGTCCACTCCCCTCCTTCGGGCATTCCAGCCCGCAGCAATCTCTTCCGCGTATACGCACCTTGCACCGGTTGCTCATTTCACACGCGACAGTGACTTTCTCTCTTTCACCCTAATATGTCTCTCTGCATCGACCTAAAATAGCCCCACGACGTAAGGCGGGGTCTACTGCGTGGGCAGCTTATGAAAACCAGCGTACGTATCACTGATGTTTTGATTCTCTGCTTGTTAACTCCTGTTCATTTTTTTTCTCGAATAAGTAATCACGTCCCAATTCTCTCCTGCTGCCGTATCCATTTATCACACATGGAATCCTACTAGCACTCCATGCGCGATTTCCCCCTGGTTGTTATAAAGAAGTCGAGAGCAAGTACACATTACGCGTTATTTTTATTCGGCGTCCTGAGCTTTGTTTATTTGATCATCGAGCCATTTTTACCGTTTTGACTCGCTATCGCGTTCTCTTTTCGCTTTCGCTATCTTTCGCCAACCTCGCCAAGAACATCGCCGATCTCACGCCGACCGGCAGCCAGCGTACATCGCTCCAAGGTCACGCGTGCCCAGAGCGTGCGTGCGTACGGTAAAGCCAACGGCGCGTGGCTTCATACACAAACCGGGCGTTCGTCACAGAGAGAGATAGCCGCCGGCGGGACTCCCTTCCACATCGACGCTCTCCTCCTCCACCAAATGTCGCCCTTCTCTCTCTCTCTTTTACATACCGTATCGTGGAGAGGCGTGCTTCCTAAAAAAAGAGGGTTCATCTCTCTCACTGTGATGACGCAAATACGCGGGTAATCCGGTGCGTAACGGCAACAGGTCGACAGAAGAAACCGTGAGCGGGAAAGGGTGCGAGTATGGGGAGGAGGAATGAGAAAGAGAGGACTGTATGGTCAAAGAAGCGCGTTATCGAATCGGAAAACACAGACAACACGACTATTGTGTCGGGTGAGGAGGAAAGGACGCGGGTCTCTCTCGCTCAGGTGCTCAGTAAAACTTCGTTGGGCGAAGGGTATACCTTCTTAAAACGCGCACACTTCCGAAGAGCACCCAGTAGTCTTGCTTTTATTAGGCGCACGAAGGGTGGCCGATTACGTGCGGAGTACGGAATCGCCACCCGATAGAAGACATCGGATCCTGTTTTGGAAAGCTTTTGCGGCGTAGCGACAAGGTTGGGAAAAAGGAAGTGCCGTCATAGCGAATCTTTACGAATCGGCAAGATTCCTACCTCGTCAGTGTTGATCGGTTGATACAAGGAGATCAAGTTCGACTCGGCAGCATTCCGAAACCAGCGCTATCCGTTTCGCACAAGGGACCTCGAGGGCGGTAAAAGTATTTTCATCGGAGCGACTTTCAATCAGCTCAGTTCCTTGAAACGCGTCCTTAGACGCATTGGTGGCAGCTAGTCCGAATTTCTTTACCTGCGCAGAAAAGGGACTCAAAGGCGACGGAGAGAAGCGCAGTGGCAGTTCGCGTTAGCGTAGCCTAGCACAGAAAACACGAGCCTCTAGAGATGGCGTTCCCACCAAGGATCCTTCGTCGTCGGACCTACCTCGTCGTGTTCGCGGCGGCGTTGATCATGTGCGGACACGTAGCGGGGTCCGCGAACGTCGAATTTCCCTCCGAAAAGGGCGCCATCGCCTCCGGAAGTGTGGACTCCGGGCCCGCATCTTGGCAGCCGACGACGCCGGTGCCGAGCACGACGACGACGACCACGACGACGACACGTGCTCCGAACATGATGGATAGAGCTCGGAAACTGATAGCCGAGGCCATGCGGTCGGCCGAGGGCTCGCCGCTGTTGCGTCGACTCATGAGGACAGAGGTGTCGCCCGATTGCACCATAGGCCTGCTGCGATTCATGCGTGACATGCGGAACCTCGAGCCGTGGGCTGTGAGGCGTGAGTACTACAGCTCCTTGTTCTTGGTGTGTTCGTAGTGCGCTCGCATTTGGCGGGCAATAGCTCTGGCACTCGATAGGTTGGGCCGAGTAGCAAAGAGCATCTAGTTGATACCACCTCCGTATGCTTATTTCAAGGAGCATGGACTCAGAGTCTGGCTGTTTATGAGCGAAGGTTCTAGCCAATAGTCTTAACCAAGGAGTGTCTACGTAGGCGTATAGTTCCGAGTTATCGATAATTCGGTGCTTTGATGACGGTGCTCATTTTGCGACTTCTGATCAATATACGAATCGTTATCCACGAGGTGCAAATAATAATTTATAGGGAAGTTGCGTTAAGGTAATGATTACAATTTGTGCGAAATCAATTCGAGACGGTTACTCGCCATACGGCCGCATTTATAGATGGCGGCGGAAGGCAAGACCTCCTGTGTGCAGATTTACATGCACTTGAGGTCACTGAGTGTGGAAATAATTATTCCCGAATCCACGTCTAATACCCTATAATCATATATTGGTTTTGGCCCGTGAAATTTCAGAATTCAAGGTTAAATCACATCGAAATAAGAACGAAGCAGACTACCTTGTAGAGCGCTTAGCCGAGCATGGGCTTCACCAGAAATCATTCTTAACAATACAATAAACGTGTTTCGCACCGATGACTGAGAGGTACAGACTTTAGAAAAATGTTTTCTTGTTCTTGTTTACGTGCGCGCTTACACTGCCCGATTCGCATTTCGCGGAAAACATCTTCAGAGAAGCGCACTATGAACGCTGCCGCTTGCGTCAAAACATGGTCTTTTGAGGACGGCATTGTGTCCACCTTACTGCCCAGAAAAACGTTTCTTACGGATGAACGCCTCTGACAGCAAAGTCGCCGCTTGTTGATCACCTTCACGCCGTAACGCTTAACAACAAAATCAGAAAGAGCGTATAGCATTCGCGCTGCGGAACTTCGAGTGGAAATGTACGTCGAAAAGACTGCAGCATGAACGCTGCAAAACTGTATAATCGATTAACAATAATTGGTTGTTTCTAGTTTGCACAGAAAATCAAGTTTGTTGCTTATCGAGTACTCTTTTGATAAATGATGCAAATGGATTTTTTTTGTCAAGTTTCGATGGAAGACGCTTATGTTGCGTATCTAGTGTTATACAACCATTTACTGAGTTTTTTAATTAAAAAATCTGCTAAGAATGGGGCATCATTTTATGGGGGGGGGGGGGGGGGGTACTATTTTCACAGATTTATTGCAGAGAACACTGGTGTAAAACTTTTTGCTAAGGATTGCTGTTACTTTGATGGAGTACGTGTCGTGAGACTATAGGCATCAAATAGAAGGCGGGCAGGACTGTTCAGGCAGCTGCGAATTTCTGCTTCCCTCTCCACTGTCCAAACACACATTCTGAGCAATTCACCCCAATACTCTGATCACTCCAGCCCCCCTATTTCTTTAACGCTGTCGCTCCAAGCTATCGTGCCCCAATCGCCCACGTACATACGTATAGAAAAACGTACAACACGTCCTTTTCTTCATGGCCCTAAAATCATCACTACCCTAACTCCCCACTCCCCAAGGTCGGGCGCGGTGGTATCAGCGGCCTTCGCCGACCAACTGGCCTGTGTCCTCCTGGTGGAGCTATATTTAAATGTCTAAGTTGGAAATCTCATAAAGAGGTCTCTCTCTCTCTCTCTCTGACATTTTGTTAGCTTTAAAACTGTTTTCGCTCACTCCTTCGACCATGTTGTGACAGCCCTCGACAACGTCACGCCATAGGGTTTCTCCAACGGCCACGCAGCACCAAATGCGAATATTCGCGTGGTTTCCACACAGGCGGGCAACCTTTTTTTAGAAATCGTGCTCCTTAAATTTATCCTCACATGGGTGTTTTTCTTCCCTCGAGACGTCTTCACGTTTGTCCGTTCTCGTCGTTTACAGAGGTCAGAGTGCGAAGCACTTTCAGGTTGGTGCCAAGTCTCAATGACGATGAGCGTCATGAAAGCCATCCGATGGTATTTACCGTCACGGGTGGCAAATGTTCCGCACGAGTGACCTCTCAGCGACATCTTTCGCGGTCACAAGAAATACTGAGTGTACGGAAGTGCACTGAGGCACTGTTCGGAGCACTTGAATATTGTCCTTTGAATACCTCCGTAGCTGTGTGCGCTTTTTAGGAGCGAAGCTCCTTACGCCGTGGGTTGTTCGTCTTGTGTTTGTAGTTGTAGCCACGTCTCGTTTAGTCCTTAGAATGTCCGCTGGATGCCGGTACTTGTATATGATGAATATATGATGAAAAGGTGCGAAATGGTGGTACTTGGAATGTTCACTAGATGGACAGGCGGACGGACGTCCAGACGGACGCATGAATGGACATACAGAGAGACAGACGGATGAACGGACGGACAGAGGCAAGAACGAATGAACGGACGAAAGCACGGACGGACTGATGGACGCTTCGCCCCACTCATCATCATTCACACCGTGCATATGCTGTGATATTTTTTTTGCATGCCCGAGAAGGAATCCATTCAACTCTTGCTTAACAGCGGAAATCGCCAAGTGGAAAGCTCAGGTAGTTTTCATCATAACTTTGTGAAAGGGACTGGTTCTGCGAAAGGGAGAGCTGCATGTACGTTTCGCAGACAGGCAAAATTAATACCGCTGATTTTTTGTTAGTTTTGCTTAGATGTTGATAGGCATATGTAGGAGTATGACAAATATAAAAGCCATTCAAATATCTACCGTGAGAGTGGCCCAGGGTAATTTTCGCTTTACACACGCCAACTTTATATTACCCGGCATGAAAACGCAGAGCCTCTTTCCGCATGACTTGACGAGAGCAAAAAAAAAAAAAAAAGAAGAAGACATTCAATATACTTGACGCCGTAGAAAGCTCCTGAGATTTGTCAGGTGATACGAGAACTCTGTGTTATAGGTCCGACCTCGTTCAAGGCTCCAGAAGAGTACCAAAAGGAGAGAGAAAAATATCGAACAAACGCGGATCTTAGAGTTATTGGCGCGCAAAATCGTTTTCGACCGAGACACCGCGCACGACCCGTTCAATCACGAATCCCTTCTTCTTTTCGTCACGTGCTCGCATTCTCCTGTTCAAGGAGATCGAGATATTAGGAAGCACAGCTGTTTCTTCACATTCCTGTACGGCGTATTCTATACTGCCTTCCTTTCGTCGGGTGCTTCCACTTAAGCCGTTCTTCCGGCGATGACCTTGTCGAATGTGTACTACCTATATCCACATTATACGAAGCGCAGAGGCGCAGCCCTGACTTTCCGCTCGCCCACTTCAGCCGTGGAAATACTGAGGCTATAGACGCAATACGGGTTGTCCCGCAGCGGGTGACCATGTTTTCACAAAGCCACTCCGTTTCATTTCAGGCAGCAGTGACGAGACTACAACGTGAAACCCCCGGACGCACGCTCTGAGTTTGGCTATGCATCAAGAATTTAATGAGCTGGAGACGCCTGGTACGGGCATTGTCTGGTTGTCTGCATTTTAATGTGCCGGGCTGACGCTATAGGTGTAAGCAGGGCCTTTGAATATATTTAAAGCGTCGAAGGACCCGGGTGGAAGCTGTGGCACATGGCTGATGGTTTTTCTATACTTCGAATATTCTGGCACACAAGTGTAATGTACCTAACCTAACATTATTCGGAAGTACTGTCGCGAAGTCAAGTTTATGTAGACGTCGTGTGTTTTCTCGTACTGCTCACATACTGCGAGTACCGTTGGCGTTCAGTTGAAATAATAGACTCGTTTTGCTGTCACTGGCGTGTCATTCCATGTCACGGTATTGTACAGTTGTTTTTAGATGTAGGTAGAACACGATAATATTCCATCATCTACATCTAGGGTAGAAAACGGAGACCTGTCTATCAGTTGTCTATGCATAGATACCTGCTTACTGACTCGTATGGGAAGCTGTTCAGCAACAGCGTTAGATGAATGGGCTGAGGATGTCTTTATTGTCATTGTGGTGCTTAAAAACGGATTATACTATGCTGCAAACTGGATGCTGCCGCTCGGATTTGAAACTTGCAGCGTTCTCGTACCATGTTCGAGGCATCGCAAATGAGTCCTAAGGAAGTGGTCAAAGATATAATTGATACGAGGCACTTTGAGTTTGCGCTTCAAAACCAAGTTCCGCCGCCATACAAAGAGGCAACTCGGTCACGTTTTCCCCGAACGTCGTTATGGTCCAAATGACGTAATCGGTTCTTAAAATCAACTATGAGAAAGAAGAGACGCTGTTAGCTTGCTATTAATATACTACATTTACATCGATGATGCATGGAGCTATACAGTGTCGCCACTTTTTTTTTCCCGTTGTGGCCTCTTTTTTGTTGGTGCGCAGTACATATTGCACCTTAGAAAACACATTTTTCTATGTTACAAATGGGTTTTAAATGCACCCTCAAAAGAAAAGAGAACAGTCAAAGTAAAATATTCGCTTACGTGAATGGGAGCTGGACTAAGTAATAAAAAAAAACAGACCTCTGAATCTGGACGCCCAGTTATAATGGGTGTGCTCACTCATCTATAAGCCCATCCCTCCATCTCTAAACATCGCAGTATAAAGAAGTGAAAGAAAGCAGCAAATCAGCTTCAACGGCCTCGACGATGACCTCTAGGCTGCGTTTCCCTGAATCTATGCGATGTGTCCTTTTGCTGGGACATTTCGTACTTATCATCGGTCGTTTCCGTAGATGACGTGGAGGCAACAGCCTTCTACAGCACGGCCTACATATAATCACGTTGGGAGCCTAATGACCACTGCAACAAATAAAAAGAAGAAAAAAAAAAACAGGTCCTTGTGCGCACTCACTTCCGGATGTAGCCATTGGGCGATCTTCGCGAGCGCATGTCAGAATGACTCCTCGGGACACAGAATCGTATAAAGAGTTCTCCGTCGCGGAGGTAAACAACGCCATTTACATTTCCACGAGATGTCTCATTTATTCGCGCAGGGGCGGCTTTCATTGCCGGCACCGCGGCATCCTACAATACACGAGGAAAGGCCTATAGGCGTTGCGGCTCGCTAGATCCGACACGGTAGCGGCTACGTCGGTTTCGTTTCCGCGTCGCATTGATAGCCGATTAGGAGAAGGTTGCTACCGGCCCCTATTCAGGAGGGGGTGGGAGAGGTGGTTATTACTAGCAATGCCTTCTCCCCGACCTGTTTTCCTCACAATATAGTAGTGCCGTGAGGTGGAAGCGCCTTGATTTAAATGTCGGGCTACATGAATATCTCACGGCCAGTGGATACACTGAAGGCCGCCTGGAGAAGGTGTCTGTCGATCAAGACACCTTTACAGAACTGCCGGTTTCGTATTATCTCGATCACTGGGTATATTTACTGCAACGCGTGGTGTTTCAGTAAAGCACTGGGATGTAAGATACTGCACCTACAGCAAGCTACATGTCACGGAACGCTTCGAGCCGTTCTCTGGCGTGCCGTGTTCCATGGACGACTGTTATTCGAATTGAAGAAATAGATAGTTAAGAGAAAGCGAACGTTCGCGCAATGTTGTTGCAAAATCGATGGTATCGGATGCCGATAAGAAGTCCCATAAAATGCGGGCTGTTCATATCTGTGACGTTCGTTACGTGCATAATCAAACCGATCGACGCCCCAGGGTCGCCGCGAATAGCACCAAGTTTACGAATCTCAGGGTCAGTATGCGTATGTGGCCGATATTTTCGTACAAAAACGCTAATCGCTTGACCTAGAGAACGGTTCATTTTCACGTCCTCCATGAAACTTGAGGCCTCTTATCAGTAAAGGAAAGGGGATCAGTGTGTGTATATCAACGGAGGAGCCGAAAGGACGAGTCTTTGCCCTCGGTGCACAGCTGCGTTATTCTGTCTCCGTATTGCAGAGCGAAATATTTGTGTTTATCGCTGACCGGTGCTCGTTCTGCGATCCTGACCAAGGCGATCGACGGCGTTGAGTTGCATAATAGCATCACTCTCGCGCCCGAGACATTGAACGCTCAACGAGGTCGGCGGCAACATGGCCAAGGGTTTCCAAATCTATCGATTACTGCCACGAACGCTCGATGCATTCCTATCAGATTGGCCTGGCGCCACGATATGTGTTCTCGATGAAAGCGAATTTCGGCAAAGACGAGCGCACGTGAAGCAACAGGAGCAGCAGCCGAAGAAGATTTTTGTTTTAAGGAGGAGCCAGAAAAGGGGAAATTCAGAAGCACAACGGTTGTAGCCCCAAGTCCCAGGCCTCAGTGAGTTGCTACGCTCGCCTAATTAACGCTTCCGAGTCATGTGCAGCTTGAGGTGTCGTTCAAAAGCGCTGAGCGTGTGCGACTCCCAATGATAGCACAGATAAGCTTGGCTACAGGAGATTTTGTGTGCGAAAATTTTCATAATAAATTCAGGCCTCCGGAAACAGGTATTCATGACTATAGTTTTCATAACCCAGGAATACTTATCGTGAGCTCAATCTGGCAACGCGAGTATCCTCCTCGCAAACCACGCCCGCCATTCCCTCTAATCAAAATGTGACCGCCGTGGCCGGGACACAATCTGAGATCATGAGCTTGTCAACGCCACGCCACACTTTTATGCATTGATCGGACTGCGGTTTTGGGACACGAAACTCCGAAATTAAATTTTAACAGAAGTGTAAAATGTGTCATCGGCCTGCACTTTTGCCATTTGATCTTTCGTCTTTATCTCTTCACGTGTGCCAACAAAACCAGTTTGTACGTCGAGAAATTGGTAACATGGTTATAGTTCCTCGCAAGGAGACGCTGTCGTCAATTTCCAATGGTAATATAAAAGCGAGGAATTGTGCAGTTAGTGAACGGAACCTAATATTCGCTGTAATTTGTTTTAGAGTTTTATACATTATATCCACAAGCTACTATAGTGTCGAAGGAAGTAAAACTGATGCGTTGCACTTGTGTATTCGTCCATTTTAGTTGTGTAAAATCGATTCCGATGTACGGGGAAATCTTGAAAGCTACGAAGTGGTCGGGTGTCGTTCAAGCGTTAAGTCAACAGGGCAATCAAGAAGCACGAGAAATTCCGATTCGTGAACGCTATAATTGGCCGTAGTTGTGAAATCCATTGCGTCGAGTGGCCCTCAGTGTGGTGTTCAGCGAACGCGTTTTTTTTTTTTTGTAGAGCGCAATCAGTCGTCCTTGCGCATGAGTCGTTTCGTAGCCAATGCGGGATCAAGCCTGCTGTTAAGAGCGGCAGAGGTGCATGTTTTTGTTTTTGACAGCCCGGCTGCATACTCCTAAAACATCATAGGCTTCAGCGAGACGGAACGTATTAAGGACGCGATTGCGTTGGAAGCGTCGCCTGGCGTGCCCATTTCGCCCTCCATTGTACGATGCACGCATTGACACGTTACTGTCAATAAACGAACTCAACGACCACGCGGAACTTGTGATACAATGAGCAATGCAACCAGAACGGCAACCGATACTATGATTAACAACGCGTACACAATGTTCGTCGTAGCATTTCACAAATTACAGCAGCGCCAGAACGCACATGAGCGGAGGAAGGAAAAGCGATAAGGAGGGGCCGCGACGACTGGACAGCTCGAAATTATCAGAAGACAAGTGTTTCAGTAATCTGAAAGTGTCTGAGTGCGAACGTGTTGCTTGAAATTAATGGTAAAGCATGTGTGCGTATCGTTTTTATGCATCATTTTCTTCGTATACTAGCGGCTGGTTGTCTAATCTTTTGAAAATATTTCTACGCGTTTTCTCTCCAAACAAACAAACAAACAAACAAACAAACAAACAAACAAACAAACAGAAAAGCATTTAGGGTGGTCATCATTAGAATTATTGATCTCACTTTTCTCTCTTTTTTAAATGCATGCTACATGAGCTCCTCTCCTTCTCTCAATACATGACAGGCTACTCTTCACGATGTAATGAGTATTTAACTAACAGATTAGCTCACAGCTTCCTGAGCTTCTAAACAATAAGCACTTCTCTGAAAACGAGACCCTTCAACAATCAGATAAATATTCTTATGCAACTTTCCTGCACCTTTCTTGTGCACGACGTCGTATTCCTAGCGGAAATACCGATGGGGCCAAGTGCTCCCGGGCTACTTTTCATATAGCTAAAAGGCGCCCTTTTCCTATGCTTTCTTTGCAGTGATCGACGCGAGCGGAAAGTACCCCTCCGGGCTGTTCCAGGGCACCATCTCGGACATCGGCGCGTACGACGAGTGCGTCGAGACGGTGGTGCACGACCAGTTCGGTCACGTGACAGTGAGCGGACAGTACTGCAACATGTACGTCAAGCTCGTCAATGACACGTCCCTCCTGGACCACATGTTGCCAGCGTTTCTCATGACTAACAGACGGGTGAGTATATAGCTTTCGTGGCTTCCAACACGTACACATCAATCGGTTCTCTGGCCGTTACGGTGGCCCGTTTGTTATGGTTCTCGGGCTGCTGACCCGAAAGACTCCACAAACCAAGCCAATTGGTTACCTCGTCAGTTGTGCATTGGCGCTGTAAGAGCACAGAAAACTTTTGGACAACACTAGATAACGTGTTTAAGTATTGCTGTGTTTAGTGATCTGCTGGTTATCAAACTGCGCGCATGTTGCTCACCAGAAGCATATATTTCTACTACAACTTCCCAACCTTTAAGTGAAGTATTTATACACTCTAGCATAATTATATTATTTTTCCAAGGAGGAGAATTCATGAAAAGATGACAGTGTCCATAGGCGTGAATTAGCGACATCCCAGTCTTTGTTTTATGCAGCTGCAATGGAAAGCTAATGACGACGTACATGCGTTCGACGACGTGTGATGGCAGCACACAGTGCGTTTTCCATATCCCCGCAACACAAGCCAGTCTGATTTTCACATACCGTCGGCGGCGCGCGAAAGTGGGGCGTGTATCCAAACTGCACGGTGCGATAGCCTTCGAACCGCTATCGATTTATGATGCTGTCTAGACAATTCTGCGTGCGCGATGCAGAATGACGATTAGATCTTGCGAACCTCGATTGCCTCGATCACCTCGGAGACAGGACATGTACTAGTTTAACTGCACGTGTCCTCTGCTGACCTCGCCAGAGGCGGGCGTGGGGTATAAATTAACTATCTTGAATTTCTGTACGCAGTGCAGCACCTCCTGAAGTGAACGAGCATACATAGACTTCTGCGACCTTCGCAAAAGTCTGCGCTGTTGGTCGATTTCGAGGTCGTGAAATACGTCTAGAATGGGTGCATGCAGCCGTTCAAGGAAAGTGCTGGGAACCACTGGCACAAAATTTGTTAGGTAGTCCATGACTGATAGTGTAGTGAAAGTTCTGTTACTGCCCAGACCTTGTAGCCATATGTGGGACATTCGGTGTTGTGTTTTAAAACATGAAATGCTTATACTGCAAATGGCGATTATTTCAAAGTGCCTGGGAATCACGTCCAATGAAATGAATAATGATTTTGGGGTCCAACCGAAGGTAAGGGCTTCAATGAGCTGATCTGCATATGCATGCAGCTGTAACTGTTCCTTCAGTTTCTGAGGCAGGTGCTTGTAGTAGTCCTAATGAGTAAAATGAATCAATGGGATTCAGGGAGATGCAGGTAATATATGTGTGTTCGTTCGGCATAGCAAATGCAAACTTAACTCGTTATCCGAATAAAAATGAGACAAAAAATCTCTCTAGAAGCAGCGCACGTGCTTTTAACGAGCGAATACATTATAAAAACGCCCAAGTATGTTTGCTGATGACGTCATGTTCACAGCTGGTGGCCGCCAACTTACCACGGCTGACATCGCGAGGAATGTGATAAGACGCCGCACACACTCTGGCTGCATCGGGGATCAATAGAAAGTATCGAGTTAGTACCACCTCACCTTACTTCAAAAGGTCGTCGAGGAAAGATGCTCAAGATATCTTGTTGTACTCCTTGCATGCGTTGCAGCCCGATAAAATCTTGGTAACTAATCTTTCGTGGCTTTCTCCTATGGACGTGCAAGGAATGGGTAGTCAGGAGTATTTACACATTGCTTTCTCTCAAGTTGCCTACGAGGTTCTAGTTAAGTATACTGGCAATTGCAATAGCGAAGTTCGTTTTTTTTATCGCTGCTGTTTTTACTGAGAACCTTCATATCTACCGTATTGTCAAAAGCATCATGTTCATATATTGTTACCGGTGGTCATATTTCTGAGCCTGCATGTTTTAATTAGGTTGTGTCAAAGAAAAAAGCTCTCAGAGAATTTCCTTCTTTCATTTATTGTCGGAAGCCTCGTTTTTCTATAGGACAGATTCAAGACGAGGATGATGCAAGGTGTATACAACTGTTCACGCTTGCTAGGTAAACGTTGCGAGAACTTTGTCTGAACTTCCCTTTGAAGTTCTCGATTTTACGACGTGTCCCTTACTCATAGCCAGGCTTCAATTTGCACCAGTACGTCATATGCGACAATTATCGGAGCCCAGTCAAGAGCCAAATATCAGGCTCCCTACTGATCCAGATCTCACGTGTAACGTAAGAGCCACAACGCGAATCGCAAGGGCTCACGGAAGCGTACGACTAAGTGCCATTGACCAGCCCAGCGCGTCTGAGGCTTTTTGGAGTTTACGTTGTGGCTAAGGAATGGACGCACGCGGAGGAAAGAATCGCGAGGGCCGCCAAAACAATCGACAGACTTCGCGCGATCCACGCGAGCTCGTCGGAGGTCGCCCGTACGAGTCACCGTTTGCTGCTCGGGAATGCGTGTCGAGACTACGAAACGACGAATGTTTCGTTCTTTTCCGCGACCACGCATCGCGTATTCGGAAAGATTTATCGCACCGAGGACGACGCTCTGCCTATAGCGAGCCGATGAAGAGAGTCGGAAAGCCCCAGGCTGCCGCTACCGGTACCAGCCTGACGAATTCCGTGCAGTGACTGGACGCGTTTAGAAGCATACGGCGAGGTCTTTCTGACGACAGAACGGACACGTGTAATGACCGTTATTGTTCGGAAATAACTGGCGTCCTTAAGTCGGCTGGAAGTTCATCTTTGTGAAGCATTTTGATGACTAAGTACACGAGCAATCGTGTCGGTGATTACTTCCTATATGATGGCTCAGTGCGTATCATAACCTTGAGGCTGGAATAATGACGTAGTCCGCACCTGGTATAGAAAATTTTAAAGCCGTGTAAACTGCGACTAGATTGGCCATTAATTCGCGTAGTGCTTTACAAGTGACGTTTCTTAGTTCCCAAATAACAGTTAATCAGACACTTCCATTGACATTTTGGAGGTTATGTTCACTAAATCGGCTATAGATGCTGTGGTACTATGGAAGTGTTCAATAAATGGTGCAAGAAAGAAGAATAAACAGATTATATCTTCAACTCACTGTTCGCAGCAGTGTTCACCGTGCAATTCAACGGCCAAATAATATCGCTGAAGCACAAATAACCCGTTGGACATACAGGTTCAGAACAGAATTTAATTGGGGGGCCAGAACCATGGCATTGGCCTTTGCTCTCCAGCACAAGGCGTATAAGGGCATGGAATCTGCAGTGGTTCGCGTAGGAAGTCCCATCGGCGCTGCACGCAAGTGGCATGACTTATCGCAACTTTATACTGAACTAGCTGTTTTATCTTTAGGCTGTCGTTGTACCTGTTCTTGATACAATGCATGCATGGACGCATACTTTTGGTGGAGGTACCACTTTTGGTGGAGGTCAAGTGAAGAACATCGCCATGTCACCAGGGAATTGAAAAGCGCAAGAGTGTTGGAACTAGGCAACAGTCAGATCTAAAGACCTCAAGTGTATGTGACATCTACTGCTCTATAGTAGCGTCCACGCCAAGTGACACAGGAGGAAAGGTGAAACTACCATCGCATCGTACAAAAGCATCTTACGAAAAGCATGTACAGGGGGTTTGTGGTCAAGTCCAGGCCTACAGAGGCCTCGGGATGGACATCCACTACGTGCAAGTACCTCGTAAAAAACACAAAATCCCGGGGTGACTACTTATAGGGGACCATGCGTGCCGTAACTGTCAGAAGTCGTCGCGACTATAGCTACTTGCGCTTGTAAGGCCGTATGCCGAAAAAACAAACACTGAAATAAAATTATAGTTATTACAGCGGCAAAGGTGGCAGTACGTTCATGGAGTGACTTGTTTCTTTCCTTTCTTTTTTTTATCTGCATGAAAGGTCCCAGTTTAAATTGTTCCGTTTCACGTGTGGTGCAGTGCTCAATCTATGTAGCGCACATGTCACTTCGCACGAGCCGCGCGTACTATCATGGCCATTGAATATGTGACATTTTCGCACTGAATTGGTCTGTGCTTCATACAGCTTGAGCAAATATTCGTCGCTAATAATTTACAGACATGTAGACCTGATTTTGACGGTGCAATTCCTAACCACTCCTTTAGTGATTGCAGGCAGTCGTATACAAGAGATTGCTGGAGAGTGTCGAGTCGTCTGTGTCACCTTGAGGTTTTCTTAATTCAGCATATGAACTGGAATTCCTATGAATAGTAATAAATAAGTTAAAAAGAACCGGAAATCTGTCCCTTTTTTCCTTGCTGAAAGCAACCGCAGTCATGCATTTTCACTGACATTTAAGGAAAATGTAGAGACGCGGACGACTGTGAACTTATCTGCTTCACTTGGTCGTGCAAAGCCTTTCACGTATACACAGAGCAGCGGTGGCTGCTTCGTACCAGACAGCACCAGTCTTTTAGTGTAACCGGAACTGATATATTCAGGGCACGTATAAAATAGCAAAAATTTTTGTAGGCTACTGTTTTATACCCATTCCAGTTATTCGGGAGACATTCAGGAACAGATGATACCACGTCATCTAACACACCTTGATTCTTTTGCGGCTTCGTACTGCTCGATTTTCGAGGTACGTGCGTAGGCATACGTAATGGCAAGAAGAAAGGAATAAAGTGGTAGTCCAGCACGTAAGATTTTATGTCTTGAAAAAAAAAATGGCAGCATATCCACAGAGTGAATGATGGAGAGTGGGGCGAAGCATTCGTCCGTCCATTCGTTCTTGCTTCCGTCGTCCATGCGTCCGTCTGTGTGACCGTCAATGCGTCCATCCGCCCGTCCGTGCGTGCGTCTGTTCGTGCGTCCGTCCCTGCGTTCGTCCATGCATCCGCCCCTGCGTCTGTTCATGCGTCCATCCACGAATCTGTCTGTGTGTCCGTTCGTCCATCTATTCAACACTGCAAGTACCACCATCTCGCATCTTTTCATGATATATTCCCCATATAGAAGCACCGCAATGCAGCGGACATTCCAAGGACTAAACGAGAGGTGGCAAACACACACTTTCATACGGCTTGCGCTTCGGGTCTACTTCCCACCTTTAACCACCTCGAGTTCATGGTATATACTAGTTCACTGTATTCATGGCACTGCGGCCCAACGCTCGCTAAACCTTTCTAAAAACAAAGAGGTTACGCCCGGAGAGTATAACGTAGCAACCTTTTCCTGTCAGATAGTGCTCAATGTACATGCCAGTGGCTGCTAATGGGAAATCAGAGACAGGAGAATTCGGCTTTTACTTTCTTAAGGCTTGCGCTTCGTATCCACTTCCCATCTTTAACCACCTCGAGCTCATATAGTATATACTAGTTCATTGTATTCATGGCACTGCGGCTCAACGCTCGCTAAACCTTTCTAAAACTAAGAAGGTTACACCCAGTGAGTATAACCTAGCAACCCTTTCTTGTCAGATAGTGCTCAATGTACATGCCAATGGCTGCTAATGGGGATCACAGCGTGCGCTTAACTAAAAGCCGAATGCTCCTGTCTCTCATTCCCCCTTAACAGCCATTGGCATGTACATTAAGCACTATCTTTTATTGTTCAACAACGCGTAGAAGAAATCTCTCACCGGCATTGCCTTGGAGGTGAAAATGTTATACTTGTTACACCATGCACGGCCACCTGGATCGGGGCGCGCGGCGGTAATCCAGGTGGCCATGGTTACACACTACAACGGCTACGAGGGATGAACAGGTTCCGCTATAAAGAGATTCGCCACTAAAAACAAGATAATTAACAATTAAAGTTTATGGTTGAGGAAGAAGCAGCCATACATCTACATATTGCCACATCCAGTTCGAACGAATGGCACGACAGATGCACCACCTTGGGGTGCGCTAAGGTGTTTATGTGGACGTCATTTGAATTCTGTCAGAGAGATAAATTTGCATTTATCCCTCGCAGCGCACGTGATGCCCACATCGGAAGCACGCGCAAAGTGGCTATTACGTAATGATCATGTGAGTGAGACCCAAAGAACATCCATCTAATTGGATAAAGGCGCACGTTCAAGAACTCCGAATTGTCTACATTCATCCCGAGTACCCGCGTACTGTGTGCCTCCTAATCGTGTCGTGATTTAATTTAATGAAACGATCGTGTGAGCCTATAAAGAGCAAGTTTCTCTCTAAAGGCATGCGTACTTTTTTTTCGCTGCTCATTCTATTCATGCCGTTTTCTGAGCGATGACGAACACTCGCCGTAAGCGATGCTACCAAGACTGCAAAAGAATAAAGGCAGAGTTAGATAGATAGATAGATAGATAGATAGATAGATAGATAGATAGATAGATAGATAGATAGATAGATAGATAGATAGATAGATAGATAGATAGATAGATAGATAGATAGATAGATAGACCTTGATGTCTTTCTTCACTAAAAGTAAGATTCACTGAAAGATTTGCCCGTCGCTTGCTCACGTCAGAGTGCGCGTATGTAAGGAGCAACCAGAGTGAAGCCTTCAAAGAAAACCGGCCTCACATGTTCGGACATCGTCTCTGGCAGAATGACCAGCGCATTCTTCGCGAAATGAGCTACAGGTGACGTGCAGGGGGAAGCCGATCCCGGCGGCGATCGCACCGCGTAAGCGTTCTTGTGTCGCAATAGGCGTGTCTGAAGTTATACGCACAGTTTTATAGCGACTCTCGCTGCTGCGCAGCGCGTGATTAAGTCTTTTTCTCTCTCTCTTTTTTCCCCCTCTTCGTAGTAGACGTTCGGACGCCACGCGAGCATGGCTTCTCCATGAGCAGTTTGGCACGACGCCGGACAGACGCGAGCTGTGGGGAGCGTGGCCTCTCCGTGAGCAGTTTGGCACGACGCCGGACAAGTTGCAAGACACGGGACAAAACGTGCCGCGCGCCGCTCCCGCGATGTGCTCCGTGATTATCGTGTCAGTGTATATCTGCGTAAAGCCACTTGCTTGCGATACCTATTATGCGGAGCGGTGCCTTCCTGTTTCACGATGAGCGCTGGAACAACGTCGGCCAAGTGTAAATCGGCGAGTCGTTCGCGTTTTGGCAACATTTGCGCGTGCTCGAAAGCAAATTAAGGCTTGATTCACGCCGGTATTACACGCACTGCCCCACCCCGTCTCCCTCTGTTCCCGTCAAACGGCGCTGATGTTCATCGTGATAACCCCTTTTTTGTTTTTGTTTTTTTGTGTCGCGGTAATGACGTTTCTTTGACGTTGGCCGATACTGCTTACCCCGTCAGGGTATCATTTTCGAGTGCTTGGCGGTGGGAAAAGCGGTGTACCATACCGGTTTGGTGGCTATGTGAAACATTCACACCCTATACAGATTGCAAAAGAGAGCGCAGAAATGCTTACTTTAGAGATATTTGACACGAAGAGACGCAGAGACCACGTGACAAAAGACAGGGAAGTGCCATCGTTGGCTCTCGCGTCAGGAGAAGCTCTCTATCATCACATGAGTGGAAAAAAGGCAGGACAAGAGCAACAAGAGAGAAGGCAGGAAGGTTAACCAGGCATATGCCTGGTTGGCTACCCTACGCTGGGTGAATAAAGATGAACGAGAGAGAAAAGAGAAGAAAAAGAGACGAAAAGATTGTCAGAGTTCCGAGCAGGTTTTGACTCCCAAGTGTTGATTAAGCTGCGTTCGATGCTGAATAGCCGAGCTTTTTTTTTTTTTCCTCCTCAGTCCACATCAAAACTTTCAGTCTTGCGGCTCGATATTAAACCTGAAGGCAGTAACGAATTACGACAGTAGAGATTGGAGAGAGGTTGACCAGGTACATGCTCGGCTGACTGCCCTATACACTGGGGGAATGAAAAGGGGAGTATAAAGGTGACAGAAAGAGCGGAGAGAGCAACCCGAGCCAGCAAGCCGCATCAATACGAAGAGAAAGCGCATAGAGAAAGCTGGACCCGCATAGCAACGTACTTACAACGCATATACATGTTTTTACACATAGAAAATGTGAATGTTAACATGTGAGGAGACGTATTCTACTACCCCAGAACTAATAGAAGTGCTTACAACTCGCATGACAACACGTGCTCTTAATGTTTTGTTTTACTATTTATTTATTTGAAGTATTGCTTTTTAAATGTTTTGTATGCTTGATTCGCCGCGGTGGTCTAGTGGCTTAGGTACTCGGCTGCTGACCCGTAGGTCGCGGGATTGAATCCCGGCTGCGGCGGCTGCAATTTCGATGGAGCCGAAAATGCTGTAGGCCCGCGTGCTCAGATTTGGGTGCACGTTAAAAAACCCCAGGCGGTCGCAATTTCCGGAGCTCTCCACTACAGCGTCTCTCATAATTAAATGGTGGCTTTGGGACGTTAAACCCCACATATCATCATCATCATCATCATCATTGTATGATTACCTGAAACAGCGTCGAAAGACCCTTCATTGGAAACGTGTCTTTGCAAACACATTGTTTGATTATACGGTCCCAATTTGCTAGTGAATCCTTAACTTTTGGTTTGCTGTTCCTGTCTTTACTGATTGGCTGCTGTTTTCCTTTTATGCGCAGACTACGGAGCTCTTCCATCTTCTCGATGATGAACGTGTAAGAGGCCTGCGGGTTGGAATATGCACCATGTCTGACTGCTCCAGAGAAGACATCCAGGCCATTGCGAACACGAGTAAGACCCAGTTGTACAACTCTGTAAGAACGTTTGCAGCACAGAAGATGTCATATTTTAGTTATAAGGAATGTGGCGACACAATCACCGGCTTAGCAAATGCGTTTCAATATTCTGCATAGCAGAATATTGAAACTTGAATATTGAGCAGCGTGGATCAACTGTAATTGATTTCAAAAAAGCTGACGATAGTAGCGTATTAACCCATCTCGCACATGAGTTCGAAAACTTTTTGCAGCTAGCTTTTGACGCATCCAGTGATACTAATCTACTTTGGCTAAGTTTCAAATCTACTGTTATATGTACTGTGTCACTAACTTCATACCAAAGAAACACAAGAAAGCCCCGCCGCGGTGGTCTAGTGGCTAAGGTACTCGGCTGCTGACCCGCAGGGCGCGGGTTCGAATCCCGGCTGCGGCGGCTGCATTTCCGATGGAGGCGGAAATGTTGTAGGCCCGTGTGCTCAGATTTGGGTGCACGTTAAAGAACCCCAGGTGGTCTAAATTTCCGGAGTCCTCCACTACGGCGTCTCTCATAATCATATAGTGGTTTTGGGACGGTAAACCCCACATATCAATCAAGAAACACAAGAAAGCTCCAGGGAATAATCCTTGGATAACACGTGAGGTTATCCAGGCCAAGCGTAGGTTAAAAAGGTTGCGTGTGGCTGCGAAAAACCATAAGTGTAAATCATCCATTCAACAGAAGCTGCAGTGTGCAAAATCAGAGCTTAAGCAAAAAAAGAAAACTGCCAGACAATATTATTTTAGTGTTACACTTCCAAGCTTTATTAAAAGCAATCCAAGCAAATTTTGGAGATACCTTCGCACTATCAATAATACACAGTCGCACACGGACTCAGGGGAAAGAACGGAAAAGGCTAACGAATACAACATTTTTTTCCAATCAGTGTTCACGACTGATAATGGTGCCACTCCTCCAGTATTATCTCTCGATTCGCCAAGCATCGATCACCTAGAAGTCACAGATACAGGAATACTGAACTTGCTTCTTAACTTAGATCCTAAAAAATCGAGTGGTCCAGATGATATTCCTAACGAGTTCCTTAAGAGGTACGCGGAATGGTGTAGCAAGTTTCTTGGGTTAATCTTTCGAAAGTCGCTTACTTCATCCCAGCTGCCAGATGACTGAAAGATTGCAAAAATAATACCTATTCATAAATCAGGAGAACAGTCATTGGTTTCAAATTACCGGCCGATATCCCTCACTAGCATTTCATGTAAGCTACTAGAGCATATCATCCTCAAACACATAACTGTTTTTCTCGAGAAAATAAAATTTTTGTCTCCTAATCAACACGGATTTCGTAGTGGCTTGTCCCCTGTTACGCAGCTAACGGAGGTAGTTCATGATCTAGCTTCTACCATAAATAATCGTGGCCAAACAGACATAATTTTACTTGATTTCTCTAAGGCTTTCGATTGCGTATGTCACAGAAAGTTACTAATTAAACTGAAAAGTGCGATAGGAGAGGGGTTATTGTTTTCTTGGATAGAAAATTTCCTAACAAATCGCTCACAGTTCGTGCAGTATGAAGGTCATATATCAAACATAGTCCCCGTAACTTCTAGGGTCCCTCAAGGTTCCGCCTTGGGACCACTATTATTTTTAATTTTCATAAATGACCTCACGTCAAACATTAACTGCAATATCAAACTGTTTGCAGATGACTGCATTATTTATAAGGAGGTAACCAGCTACACAGACCACATTAATCTCAATGAATGTCTAACCAAGCTAGCAGATTGGTGCGCTAAGTGGCAAATGTCCATCAATGTGAAAAAATCCGCAGCTATGACGGTAACACGTAAGCAGAATCCATCGCAATTCATCTACACCATTCATGGTTCACCACTGACTAATGTTGTGCAGCATAAGTACTTAGGCATTACATTAACGTCTGACCTGAGATGGGATACACACATAGCTAACGTCACTGCGGCCGCACTGCGTAAACTTTTCTACCTAAAAAGACGACTTAGAATTGCACCAGCGCCCGCAAAACTCTTGGCTTATACCATGTTAGTAAGACCAGTATTAGAATATGCCAACGTAGTTTGGTTTCCTTATACGCTAAGTGGTATTAGTAAATTAGAGGCAGTACAACGCAAAGCCATACGGTTTGTACACAACAAGTTCAAACGTACAGATTCTCCCACTAACCTTCTGGCTTCTTCTGGCATTGAAAAACTAGCTACTAGGGCAAAAGAGGCACGCCTGAGGTTCTTGTACCAGTTGTTACATGGCCACTACAAGGTAGATGTGTCTAAGTACGTCAAATTTTCACAGTCACGCCCTACTCGTCATAAGCACAAATACAGTCTGCAAGAATATTCCTCAAACAGTGACGTCTTTGGAAAATCGTTTTTCCCACTAAGAATACGCGAATGGAATAAACTGAATGCAAATGCTACTAATGCCGACACACTATCCACATTCACCGCAGTGTTAGAAACCATGCGTAATCTACAGTAGTGAATCAATGCTTCACATACCTTTGCTATTTTCCTCTTTTCTTTTTGTTTTTTGCACGGCGCACTGTAGCAGGCCAGAAAGTACTGGGTGAGGCTTATGTTTTCGTATCCGTCTCTCTCTTTTTTTTTTCAATCCATCGCTCAAATACCTGGCTTGGTATGCGCAAGTCAGCAGTTTCCTGAGTTTCCTGCTAGAAAACTGCGCATATTGTTGATTCGGTCACCGTCATTTGTCCTGCTCTCTGATATCATGTGAACCGAAAAATGTGGTGCGTTTCAAATTGATGTTTTTCGTTTCATTCTCTTTTTTTTTCCTCGCGCAAATAAAATGTGGAATGGTTTGCCGGATGCGCTTGCTGGTGATGATGGTTGTGCCGATAATAAAGATGCGCTACATATCTACATATTCTTATAACATTGTATAACACATTTTGGTGCGATTATCTTCCTGTTTTTAATTATGCGAATAATTCATTATTCCTTGTATCTTTTTTTTACCAATAATGTAAGGAATCCCGTGTGTCAGTTGGAATGTTATTGTTTGTTCTTCATGAATGTATACTACCTGCAATGTGCCCTCTGTAATGACTCCAACATTGGGGTCGACAGTATTGCAAATAATAATAATAATAATAATAATAATAATAATAATAATAATAATAATAATAATAATAATAATAATAATAATAATAATAATAATAATAATACCACCGCTTATTTGACGAAATTGTGGAATAGGGTCGAAACTGCGGTGATTGATAGGAACAGCTGAAATTTTAGAAAAAGGCTCTGTAATGGAAATTTATTGGCTTTGTATTTGATTCTGATTTCTGATTATTTGCAGTTACTGAGGGAATTGCGAAGATCACAGTGAACGATTGCGTCACTGGGGAGCCTGTACCTATCTCGGACTGGCAGATAGCGCTCATGTAAGTGTGTAATACTTGCAGCTGTTACTGACTCTCTTAAAATCACGGAGTTTCGAATTTATGCTGTAAACAACATTGATAAGATGTGTTCTCTTATATGAAAACAAAAAGCGTTACCTCACAGAAGCAATTTTACCACCGTACTGTTTTTTTCTTTATCCCTACGGCAGGAGAAATTGATCACTGGTAGCCAGTCCTTTCACTTGTTGCTTTTAAGGCACGAACTGTTTGATTTCAGAAAAAAATTGTGTTGTGAGGTCATAATATAGGTAGAAAATTGTGTGTTAGTGACCCGGGACTAGCCCTTTGTACTCGTAAGATTTTGTGGCAGTTTGTGTCAAGTTCCTTCGTTACCTAGTTGAGAGAAAAGGACGTAACTTGGGTGTCAGTTCTTAACAAGACGCAGACCTGATAAACCGTTAGCATTAACTACTGAGTATTAGTCGCAAATGAGCCCTAACAGCCATAATCATGGTTTAGATATTGTAAAATAGTCGATTCGTCATTAATTTGTACTTCCCTATTCCAATAAATAGGAAACAACTTGCAAGCTCTTGCTTTCGGGCTTCACTGCGCATATACAATAAATGCTGCCGGACCAAGCTTGCGTGTGTTGATGTTTTTATTGACTTCGATTTTGAAGAACATTTGTTGCTTGGAGTGCTGTAGACTCCAGCGCGCATTTTATGAATAGCATGCGTACTTCATCTCACTTATTTTCTTTCACAGAGCTCTTGCGGTTGCGAACGTCCTCTTGTTGGTCTTCAGCACTTCGTTTGACATGTATGCCAAGAAGAAACAAATGAAAAGAAGTAAGTCATACACCGTTAAATTGTTTTATTTACATATTCTTTTTACTTCGCCGGTCGTAACATCCATCTGCAGCAAGGATGATCGATATTTAGCACGTATTGTTCGGAAATTCCTGGCAGTTTTCAACAACCACGACTAGACCATACGACCATCAGTATCACATTAAAATATGAATTAAATATGCGCAAACATTTCGTACGTTTTATAGTTTGCTCATAGGTACAGATTGGAAGGCATTTGCGAAGTTTTTCAGCTACATTGTTTTACAGCATAGTGGCTTTTTTTTTAGGTGAACTTCTTCTTTAGGCCAGAATCAATAGCGTAAAAAAAAGAGAATTTGCACATTTACACCACTAGCAAACAACTATTTCACTACTAATGTAGAGATTCATCTTGCTGAAGGGATCAGCTACTAAAATATGATTGATAATCTCCTAGCAAAATTATTTACCTGTTAAAACTCTGTGTTTTAACGCCTATATTCTTCGACGTAAAAAAAAAGTTTGCGTACGCAACATAGTCGATTTTTTATCACTGACAATGTTAGTAGTTGCTATAGATCTGAAACTCAAAGAACAGTTTATTTTTTTATATAATCGGTGGCTTGACATATGCATGAATGGCTGGACTTTGCGTAATGAGGTTGCTAATGCCTGCTACGTCTAGAAATGACGTCTGTTCTCACTTTCGATTTGTAAGACGAGTTGTAGCGAGAGATGTGTAATCGTTCGAATGTTTTTTTCGTCTACAGCCCTTGTGGTGAAGCTCCTGACTGCCTTCTCGGTGCCCCGTAACACGAACATACTGCTCTATGTGACGCATAACAGCAGCTCTGAGGCGTACTGCTATCGGTTCCTGCACGGCCTTCGCTTCTTCAGCTTGTTCTGGATCGTGCTCGGCCACTCGTCTATGGCATTCGATCCAGTCATCTGTAAGTTTAATTATCATCGTCTGGTTTTTTTTTTATTTATCTTGGTACTCATTTCTACTTGCCAACATTAAAACAACTAAACTCTAGTTTACGGACATGACATTTATTGCTGAGCAGTTGGCTCAGTTGTGAGTGGAGCTCTCTTCCTGTGTTTCGTCTTTCTTCCGGTAGGGCTTAGACGTGAAAAACTTTCTTCAAACTTAGTTTCGGAACTTTCGCTTTGAAACTGCACTTTAGCCTATAACAGTTCATCCTGCTCGTTGTTCAAACAATGACTAGTAAACCACCAATGGCATTACCTTTCTTATTTGTGCTTCGTGCAAATAAGCAATAAAAGGAGTCGCTGACTTAAAAAGCAATTAAATGCATGTGAGGAGAGGTTAGCGCAAATGCGTGGTGCCTCTTCACGCACATTGATCGGTGCACCGTCAAGTCAGTTCATTGTTGTTTTAGGGGCGAAGCTCCTTAAGGCGTGGGCTGTGCGTCCCCTGTATGTAGCCACTTCTCGTTTAGTTTTTGCAGTGTTCAATAGATGGCGGTACCATCCCCTGTATGTAGCCACCTCTCGTTTAGTTTTTGCAGTGTTCACTAGATGGTTGTACTTGTAACTGATGATGAAAATATGCAAGATGTTATAAACTAGACGGCGGTACTTGTAGTTGATGATGAAAAATGCGAGATGTTATAAATTAGGAACGGTGTCACATATGGCGCGTGTCATTGGTGGAAGGCAATCGTTCGATTTAGTGTGGCGACGTCGCTAGGGGGAGCGTTGTAATAAAATTGAGTGTGTAAAATGTACGGAGGATTCATGGTTTACCAGGTCTACCTCCGGAGCTTCGCCTAGTCATCATCACACACTTTGTGGATATGGCGGCACTTTTTTTTGTTATCACTGCAAGGCGGTCACGTGCAACAGCTTGAAAATAGTGTAGTGTAGTTAAGAATCACTGCCCGGATTTAAAGTATTGTAGGTAATAAGGTAGTAGAAGCGCCGGTAACAACTTTCGTGTGCGTTTGTTCTCTCGCAGCGAGGTTTGCCAACGTCCTGGAAGCCACAGGAACCTGGTTCTACTGTACCTTTTCAACGGCCTTCCTCAGCGTTGATACATTCTTTTACCTGAGGTATGTCGAGAGCAATCAACAGGCACGTTTGTTTTATGCTAAAGCACGGGAGAAAGTTATGTGCAGTAGTTGCGATCATAAGCCATCTCGTGTTTAGGTCGAACTTGTGACGCTCCCAATAGGCGCAATGATGGGGCATGAATTGTCTAAGCTAAAGCTGCCCGAAAAATAATGTGCAACATCCGAGGCAATCCACATACACACGAAAAAATAGAACATGAAAGAAGCTACGTTTGAGATTTTTTACGTACATGTATGCAACCGTCTGTCATGTTACTCAATTTATGCATGGTCTATTTGTAGGGTTAATGGTGTTCCAATGCATTTTGAATGCTCTGGCGAGAAATAATGATTTCACAAGAGCTGATACAGAATATGTTTTGTTATGTAAGGTTACAAAAGCTTAAGTTCTCATCGCGGGATGTCACAGGCTTGGTACGGCTACGCTGAGTAGTTATACTCAGCTTTTGTAACCATTGGCAATGTCACGTGGAAACTTTTTTTTTGTGTGTGTGTGTAATGAATCCTGAAAAATGTTTGAAATGAACTAGTCTTAAACGTTGATTTATTTTACCGTATTATCACCGTTTCTCTATAGCGGATTTCTTCTGGCTTACAACGTGGTCAAGGTTGATTTGGATGCCTGGATCATCATTGCGGTCGCGCTGACTCGTCGAATTATCAGGTGCGTCAGTGGTCATGTGTCTGTTATCAATACATTAGTGTGTCACTTGACTCACGTTTGCCGTTCTCAACTCTTGTTTAAATAAGCTATTGACTCTCCTGGCCAATTTTGTTCACCGCAGGGTAATGATACCCGTCACCTACGTAATCTTGGCCTTCTTCCTGGTCCCTCTGTTCTACTCGGGCCCCAACTCCAAGCTGCTCTTCGACAATTACCACGAAGAAATTACTGGCCGCTGGTGGCAGCTGCTCCTACAAATCCGCAACTTCTACAACTCCACCGATATGGTTCGTAAAGACACGATCTGTCGTTGAACGACCTAGAATTTTATATAGCGCCACCGCTAGAAACACGTCAGCACATTTACTGACCATTTCTTGATTTCCTTCCCTTCGCTCTTCTATCTCTCATCTTTATACTGCCCTTTCTTATTCCCCCAGCGAGGCTAACCAACACCGACTAAATTTCAAGGCCAAAGGGCAGCCGCAGTGACGTCAGAGGGTGGGGGCCCTTCGTGTCCTTCTTGTCTCTGTGTCGTCGTTTTGTTCTCGCGCTATAACTACCGTCAGGTCCAGTTACGCCGCGAATGCGGCGGAAAGCCACTGTTTCGTTCACGTTTTAGGAGAACCAACGCTCCCGCTGTCGCAGCTGCTGCGGCTAGATCTGGCCGAATAAGAGATGTGGGAAAAAAATCTTACTGAGCATGCTCAGTTAGATAACTGGGCCCCCACTCCCTGACGTCACTGCGGCAGCCTTTCGGCCTTGAAATTTAGTCGGTGTTGGGCCAAGCCCCGTATTCACAAACGCTCCTTGACTCGAATTTCACCTTTCACTTGACAGAGTGGCGCACTGTGCCGCTGCTCGACTGAAAATGACGCTGCGCTACTCGAGATTAGCAGCAAATTATCACTGATATTCAGTGACTTTCCCTGCCTAGAGATGGCACTCCCATCGGTTTTCTCATGGAATTGATTTGTGGGGTTTAACGTCCCAAAACCACCATATGATTATGAGAGACGCTGTAGTGAAGGGCTCCGGAAATTTTGACCACCTAGGGTTCTTTAACGTGTACCCAAATCTGAGTACACCGGCCTGCAACATTTCCGCCTCCATCGAAAATGCAGCCGCCACAGCCGGGATTTGATCCCGCGGCCTGCGGGTCAGCAGCCGAGTACCTTTAGACCACCGTGGCGGGGCGGCTTCCTCATGGGAAGGCGGAGCGTTGAGTGAAGGGGCGTTCTAGAATACGGGGGTGAGCCTACCAGTCACGTGTCTTGTTAACCTCCCTGCCTTCTCTCCTGTTTTGCTTTCTTCCTTTTGCTCTTCAATTAGATGATTTACGCAATTAAATCAGAAGAAGTAAGCCGACTAATGGGGCTTGTTTGTCTACGTTGGCATTGAGTGCACACTCATTAGAAGTATTACAAGAGCACAAAAAGACAAAGGTTAATGGGACTTCATACTTCCTATGAACGCACATTCAAGATCAAGTCATCGGAAATTTGCTCGAACAGAAAATGGAAGCTCATGTGTTGTTGTGACGTCAAGAGAACATGCATACTTTCTGCTCATAATGTATTAGCAATGGCACAAAGACTATATCATTTTTGCAGCGAAAGGTTATCCTTTAAAATCTGTCGCAATCGGTCGAGGTTGCCTATACATGCCATAATAACAAAGTATTACGCCTCCAGACCAAGATTTCAGTCTCAGGACACTGATTTTTTGCCGTACTGTTGACGTGCTTTTATAATTTTCATCAGAAAAACCGCAGACCCGAAAAATAATGACAAGGATATTTCATTTTCTTTGATAATACGCTTAAGGAGCAGCTGAAAATAGTTTTCGCCTTTATGCAACTGAGTGAGTTGATTGAGAAATGGGTGAAGCTTTTTGATAACGCCAAGGAGATAATTTTCACGAAACTAGTAGCCTAGAAGAACCATATATGATTGATTTGACTACTCATTCATCATGTATGCTCAATATTCCCTCAAGGACTAAGGAGTAACCGGCGCATTACTTGTACGCCAACATGACTGTCTGTTAGATCTTAATAATATTGTGCCTAACAAAGACGAGGAGCGCTTAAATGTACACTTCTTTCCAACAACTCCATACATATCATTTCAATAAAAAATCACTAATAATACATAACCATTTTAGGAATGACAGATTTGTTTTATTTATTTACAAAGTTCTTGCAACGCCGTAGTGGCATTACTGCACGGGGGTGTACATACAAAATCCAATTAGGTTGCTAATATTTCTGCGATAGTGCACCTTAAACATTCTGGAAAATAAAACAACATATAATAGTTACAGGACGCAATCAAGAATATATTAGTACAATATGACACGTGGCGAACAGATACTAAAAGCGAATAGGCATGTCACAATTTCACAGTGATACGACTCTCCGACAAAACGAGCAGATTGGTTTTACGTTCGATGCGTGTTGGAGATGCTGTATAGAAAGTATCCGAACCAGGCGTCGAAGGCTACAAGCTGTGCATTTAAGGAGCTTTCCGATAACCGTCAGGGTGATTAGTTTGCCAAGTATTCAAGTGAAATGCGCTTAAAATGTAAGGCATTAATTGGTACCACAACCACCCGTACTAATTTCAATCTTATGTGAGAGAATTCACAGGAATATCCACGCTTCACGTTTCCCTAATGTTCCTTTTACTAAACTGCAGGAATGCTTTTCCCACCTGTGGTACTTGTCTACAGACTTCCAGCTGTTCCTGGTCTGCATCTTTATCCTGGCTCTGCTCAGAAAGTAAGATTTTTGTCTCTGGCGTTCCGGCACAGATAAACTGCAGTAGAACAATTTATTTTTTATCCCTCGCTTTGTCCCCCATGGAATCAATTCAAGACTTTTGTATACTTAGTTCAAGCGTAATCTTAAGAGTCATCTCTAACGTTGAAAGTTAGCAAGCATTCTCGTTCACAGGGCTTTCGGTTACCTTCAAGGCGCCTCTGCGAAGAATATAGCCCCGTCATTCACGACGCTTGCCTACGTGTCATTGATTCTACAATACCACGTGTGTTGCTTTCACAGGCGGCAAACCTGGATGATGTGGACCTTCCTGGGCCTCTCGCTCTTCTGCAGCATATTCTCCGCGTGGCAAATGCAGACTGGAAAATATCTCCCGGTCATCCCATCGGTGGTTGGAGATCTCACGTAAGTGTAGTACAATATTTGGCGAAATCGTGAAATTAGGAAAGAAATAACAGCAAGCGATAGTGTAGAGATGATGCAGGCGAACTTTTTCAACGCCCCAAGACTGTATAGACACACGTGAAACTGCCGCGAGGGTTTTATTTGCTATCCGATAAGGAACGGTTTAGCGTCGAAGTAATTCATTTCGGAAGCACACTGCAAGTGCTTATATATACGCGCATGCACTAGCTGAAAGAGGTGTATAGTTTCGGACTAATTACACTTCCTGAAATGGAGGTGTACGTCAACTTCTGTAGTAGTAACGTACGTTGACGCGGCGTACACTTTGTTAACATACGTTACTGATTAATTGATATGTGGGGTTTAACGTCCCAAAACCACTATATGATTATGAGAGACGCCGTAGGGGAGGGCTCCGGAAATTTAGACCTCCTGGGGTTCTTTAACGTGCACCCAAATCTGAGCACATGGGCCTACAACATTCCCGCCTCCATCGGAAATGCAGCCGCCGCAGCCGGGATTCGAACCCGCGCCCTGCGGGTCAGCAGCCGAGTACCTTAGCCACAAGACCACCGCGGCGGGGCAACATACGTTACTGCTCTCAATTAAAGTACGTTGCCTTTGCCGTTTTGTGAGCCCATTATAGTGTGTATCCCACTTGTTATTCCATCTTGTCAGATGAGTCTGTGCCCAATTTATTCTCTAAGGGCTCTTGTTGTAGCAAGTCAGCGGTTTTTAACACGCAGGTTAACTTTATCAGTTCAACAAAGGTGAAATTTCGTCAGATGAAGGGGCATAGGTGTTAACGAAAAACTGGCTGTGTGATCAAGCGAAATGTTTGATTTCTAGCGTAGAAGTGCTTTGTTATTTCATATTTGTTTTTTTTTTCTTAACGTTCGCAGGACTATAGCAAACACATTCAATGAGGTGTACATGATGCCCACCTTTCATGGAGCCAGCTACTTCTTGGGATGTGTCACCGTACTCTACCTGCAGAAGTACAAGAAGGCTGAGATGTCGCGGGTACGTGCATCTGAACATAAACACATACTTAGTTACAAGAAATTATTACTCTCTAGAGCTGTAGTGGTAAACGAAATGCGATTAAACAAAAAGATAGAGATAAACTATTGCATTTTGTTGGCTGTTTTAAGTGTTTCGCGAAATCGTGACCTGGTACCTTTTTAAATCGCTACGAAGTCGAGGGGCGACTGGAAACGACGTTCAGAATCACCACATAGATGTGCCCATAGGTCAGCCGGTGTGAACACAAGCACTGAAATGAAGTTACTTCATTCGACAAAAGTTGTTGCGCTTTCACAGAAGGCTTTACCGACCGTATTCAGAACCAACTCCAGTGCCTTTTGTTGCAAATACATGACAAACAAAAAAATCCCCCCCCCCCCCCCTGGGACTTGTGAAGTGAAAGTTGCTGAGCTAGTTACGAAGAAAAGCTTTTTTAGTCGTGTGACCGCAAGCAGAGAGATTTTCAGGCCTGTAGCATTTTCTTTAAATGAACTTGAATAGCTTTTTCAAGAAAACTCAAATGCGGAAAGTACGCATCAGTATCCTAAATTGCATAAAAATACATTGTATTTATGTGAAGTACCACTATCATAAATCATATAAAGCGGATAAATCTAATATGATAATTCACAGCTTATGTGAATTTCTTACAAGTTGACATCTATTGCGCCAGAGTCTAATTCGCAAGTTAGTGGAATACTTAGTAACGGTGTATTTTTAGTAATTCTTATGCTTTGAGCGCTATTTAACGTGCTTTCTATTTGACTGTTATAGTATCTTGCATTGATCAGTTATAATTGTGAACTGCAAGGTTTTGTACTATTTCAGTTTTAACGTTAATCAAAAGTTTGATCGAATCAATAAAAAATACCGAAAGTGCCAAGATACTAGGTTCCTATTTTATCTTCTCTGTATGGAGATTCTTTCCAAATTCTGTGAAGTGCTCTTGAAGAAAACAAATTGCATACTTTTATTTCTAAACTAAAAGCTCTTTAAAAAACCCTTCTAGATATCTGAGAATTGGTTATGATTAAACAAAAATTATCTAAAGGCCACTAAAATTATTCACTGTTCTTTGTTATATGCGCAGACTACGGAGGTTGTGCTTTGGTGCGCCAGTGTTGCCTGTGCGCTGACCTGCGTCCTAGCTCGTCGCCGCTGGAACGCAGGCCTCGTGAACCCTGGTGCTTGGGAGGATGTTGCGTTCGCCTTCTTCGACCGACTCCTGTGGTCTGCTTTTCTCAGCTGGCTAGTCATCGCCTGTGCCCGTGGCCGAGGAGGTGGGTGAACTGGAGTTGTGTTTGCTGTGGTCAAATGCTGGAGGCGTTTAAAGGGAACGTATACTGTGCGGAGAAAATGAACACCACTGTTAAGGTCGCTTTTACGGTCTTCTTCGGTATAGATCTTAGTCATGTTCTAAGTGGTTCCTCACTCAAATGCGAATTAGAAGACGTACTTATACAACCGAGATCTTACGGAAGACAGCGTAAACGAGGAATATCTCTTATCCTCGTACAAATGAAACTTTCTTTCTCTCTCTCTTTCTCTTTTTCTTAAAAGTAGCAGCCCAGTCTAAGCTTAGATGTACGTGCACCTAACTGTTTTGAGGTCGAGTTGATTCGCTTGAGAGAGAGAGATGGGGGTGGGGGGAAATAAGTTGCGGAAAGACAGGGAGGTTGACCAGAAAGCAAGTATATGCTTTGGCTACTGCAGTTTCTGTAGCAATAACCATAATAATGACGAAAATACTTATAGCGCTTTCGGGAAGCGTTTTCTCATTGAGAGTCTTTCCGGCATTCATGTTAAACCAGAACATGTGCATTGGCTATTGCACTGAGGTCGCCAGCTGCAAACGTTATTTTCTCTAATTTTTACAGCGAAAGCTGTTTTGAGATTACAACAACGGTCGCGTGCGCTGTAGTTGTTCGCCGCCGCCGCCGGTGTCCGTAATCAGTATCGCTTGAATTAAGAAGGACAACTAAACATACAAAACCACAAAGGACACAATAAAATTCGAACATGGGTCCGCTGTGTGCCAGCCCGGTATTCCACCACGAAGCCAAGCCGGCGCTTGAAACTCACTGGCAAACTGGCCTTAGGCAGGCTTAAAGTCTGGAAAGAAACAGCTTCAATGTAGGTATTAAAGCATTTTAGAACATCAAGAAATACAACCAGGTGTCACACAATGCAAACAACGTAACGAGTGGGTCGTCCAATGCTCCAACTGATTACTAAAGCTTCAGGCATAATTCTTCATGGTCATCAGAAGCAGCATAAAAAATGCGCAATGTTTCTTGCAAGTACATAGGGGGAAGCACGCCTCTCCGAAGGATGGCCTATTGAATGCCTTTCCACTACACAAAAATTATAATGATTTATGACGTAGTGGGTAACCTAAATGTATGTTATAGTCAGACACCCAAAGAGTGTTTAAAGAAGGCTCCGAAAGCCGGCTCTTCCGCCTCTCGCAGTGACATGTGCTGCACTTTCCACACAGACCTGGTGGTTTTAAATGGGAAGCATTTCTTAGCAAATTTCGGCAACTTTGAGCATATCTATCTATCTCTCTATCTATCTAGCTGCTTACGTTTGGGTGCTCTCGTGGTCACCCCCTTAACTTAGCGTGAACTAAAGTTAGCATGGGAGGGTAAGATGGTTTGACGAATATGACGCGTTGGTCAAGACATAAATAATGTCACAATCATGTCACGTACGTGGTCAAACACTTCCCGCCAGACAGTGACACATACCCACGGGCGGGTATGTGCCGCTGGTAAGCGGGTATGTACCCAGGTTATTGATACTTAGTATCTACCCAGGAACGACGAGAACACGCATGGACAATTCTAACGCGCAATCGTAAAGAAATACCCGACATTGGTAGCCAACTTCAGGGTCCCAGATGGAATTGAAACCAAGCATTCTGCGTGGCAATGAGGCATTTTACGACAGAGCTACGCCAGTTCTCGGATGTTAATCTTCGTGAAACGTCAATAGTGGTTTCAGTGCTGCCTATCTAATTTTATGAACAAATACATATGTACTCCTTTGATACAGCCGTCACGTCGGGTTAACATCAATTGTGATGAGTTGCCCTGTTCTGAAGTTTATTTATGTAGCAGTGTCCTGGGCCTGCATCTTCGCGAGCATGAGCGCTTCATACCAGCGTCTGGTGTTGCTCATTCGCATGTTCCAGTTGGAATTGTTGCGCAAGTGCAAGCAACTGGTTACGTAAACATCTGCAACTCTTCAACATATGTCGGTGCGTGCAACATTTGTACATATATTTAGCCTCATTTCACAACGTGTTGCTCAATAAAAAAAAGTTTCAACACGGTCACCTTCCCTCCGCATGCTTCGCATAACGTCGATTCCCAGCTATGTGGGGTCTGCCGAATCTGTTTTACGAGGTTTAAAATTACTAAGCTGGCCCAACGTCTCAACGTATTCTTGAGCATGTCGCTACGTTATACCAGAATACCGCCCCTATATTCCACTGGGGCACTTTCAATAGGAATTGTCTTTGTGTTCTTTACTAAGTCATCTGCGTGTTGTCCACTTGCAGGCTTCGTCGGCAGATTCCTGTCATGGAGTGCTTTCGTGCCTTTGAGTCGGCTGTCCTTCGGCGTGTACCTGGTGCACCTTCCGTACTACGTCGTCATGTGCTTCGTCTCCAGAGAGCGCATTTTCTACTCTATGCTCGGAGTGGTGAGTGCTTCGCCGTCTGAAATATTTGGCTTGCCCGCATGGACGATCGCCGTTATGCAATAAGTTATGACAGGCGTATAGACTTGTAAAACACTGCCCCGCCGTGGTGGTCAAGGGACTAAGGGCTGCTGACCCGCAGGTCGCAGGACCAATACCCGGCTGCGGCGGCTGCATTTCTGATGGAGGCGGTAATATCGTAGGCCTGTGTGCTCAGATTTGGGTGCACGTTAAAGAACCCTAGGTGGTCGAAATTTCCGGAGCCCTCCTCTACGGTGTCTCTCATAATCTTATCGTAATTTTGGAACGTTCAACCCCACAAATCAATCATTAGACTTGTCAAACATTTACGCGCTGGTTCAGAGTTCTCGGACTGATGATTTGAAATAGCACAGTTCATGAATGCATCCTTCTATTCGTCGTTATTGGCGGTTCGTCGGCAATCTCAACAAGATTGTCGAGATTGCCGATGTCGAGATTGACGACATTGCTCAGGTGTGAAAAGAAGCCTCTCTTGATCATTAGGACAAAACATGTAACATTTTCAGCACTAACAAGTCTTTGGTAGAGTTAAACGGCTAGCGCACTGCGCAAGCTCCTATAGAAAGAAGCCGAAAAAGACAGGATAGAGCACCAGGAGTAAGCGCTTCCTTTCTCTGGGGTCGCGCAGTACGCTACCTGCTCAATGAACCAACCATCTTAAAAAAAGTATCTGGAAGAAGTATAGAGAAAGTGTGTGCGCAACATGAACGTGTCACAAACAAGACAACCTTTCGTGTAAATTTAAATTTATCTAAGCGTTAAGAGCGCTTATTGTGATCCAGAGAAATGGTTTCTTTTGAGCCCCTGTTGAGCGGTTTACTCTAGCAACCGAGCTAATTTTATCTAAGGACAACAATCAAGCTATAAGACTACTGGTTAGTAGTTCTGGCTATTGCCACCATGCTCTTGGCGTGGTTTTTGTCAGAATGATTGGCAGCGTTTCATTTATTTGTGTCAAGGTGCTTCATAATCATAGTGGCCGATTTATGACGTATGACGAACTTAGAGAGCACAGCACTTCGTCTTTAGCGTTGCATCAATCGTGCAAGCAATCCAACTGGGCCAACTTCACTTTCTACTGCAAACAAAAGCAGACGCTCTGTTAGATTATTTTTTCTGTTCCATGCTGTCATGTCAATTGTGCTCTTGTTTTTCTTTGCTACACAGGTGTCGACAGCGTTTTCGATCTTCGTTTGGAGCTGCTTCTTGAGTTACGGCATTTTCATTCTCTGCGAGTGTCCGACAGGCGTAATCGAGAAGACATTCTTGGCCTTCAACGAAATCGAGAAGACTACTCACGGGAACCAGCACTTCAGGCATGACGGTGCGAGCGGCAAGGGCTGGGCGTCCGCCGCGAACGGCAAGAAGCAGCCGCCCATCATACCCACGGTCATCGTGGGACAGGAACAGTTTTCAGCGACAGCCGCAACCGGTGGCGCTGCGCAGCCGGAGACCGCGCCGCAGACGTGTCGCTTATGAGTGACTAAAACGCAGACGTGTCGCTTATGAGTGACTAAAACGCAGACGTGTCGCTTATGAGTGACTAAAACGCCACTACCAATCGCGATAGCTCATCGATACGAACTGCTCTTTTTTTTTCACATTTGCGTCCAGTGAAGCCAGTGTTGCGCTTTTCGTGAGCACCTCTCCCATCACACGCTGTGTCGACATGACGGGCATCGTGAACTTCGTCGTGTGACCGTTTTCGTGTGTGGACTCGCGGACTTGAAGGGTGTGTGCGTGTGTTTCGTGTGTGCGGGTTGAATACCGGATCGGAGGTGTGGACAACCCGAAGCCAAAGACGGGCCCGCGAAAGGGACGCCAGTGACCTTCGTGTCAGAAGGTATAGAGTTCGCCGGCCTCGTGGAACGCTGATATGTGGCAGCTGCTAAATAGGTGTACTCATGAACTGTGCAATCATTTAGAACGCGTCTTTTCTGTAGTTTTGTCGCGAACGGGCATCGGCTGGTATCGTTTCCCACCTGAACACTTTGAAGACAAACTATTCGGGGACAGTTTTCTTACAATTTCGACAGAATGATCACGAAAATTGCGACACGTTGAGTTTTAGACCAGATTGTTCCAGCATATTATTCACTGCATATATTCATTATAAAAAAGGGCCTCTGCAGGGAACCATGTGAGAGCCTTTTGTTAAAGCTGTTTCATGAATCTGCCAATTGCATGAGAGTAGCTCATGCTTTACGAAGGTTTTCATTATATCATTTTGCTGTCTGTATACGCTGAGCAGTGAGAAAAAGAAAGTCTTTTGTTCCTGGAAATGAGAAGGTCGAAAAATTGATGAAAAAATCTCACGCTAAACAGCAGTGCAGCTTCATACAGGGTATTTATCGAACTCCCAGCGTTCTGTGTATTTAATTGTAGGCGTTGTTTAAAGGCACACGTAGTGCAGAATGTCTGTAATGAGCGGTGCTGGCTGGTTGATGAAGGTTCTCAATGTTCACTAGTCTTTACAATCCCAGCACATCTGGGAAAGCTCGTTTCTTGTGATTATCTTGTATTTTCACTTGTCAACCTCCCTAAAGCACTCGTACGTGAAACCGATTACCTAATGTCTTGTAATGGCGGTAAGTTAAGATTCTCTATTCAACCATTGTGAATATTTTGTACATACAATACATTTTTTGGGGAAAAAAGTTATCCTTTCTTTAAACATTGATGGTGAAATAAACTTGAATATGCGACTCGACTCGGTCTCTTTTTTTGTCAGTTTTTTTCTTTCTATGACGCCATGCACGCGCACTCTATTGTGGGCCTCGTCGTTTTCTAAAACATTTATTCTTACTTATTTTTTTATGCTGGAAAGCGTCAAGGTGGTCTAGCGGTCAGAGTGCGCGACTGCTGATCCGGAGGTCGCGGGATCAAATCCCGGCTGCGGCGGCTGCATTTCCGATGGAGGCGGAAACATTGTAGGCCCTTGTACTTAGACTTAGGTGCACGTTAAAAGGCCCCGGGACGCCGAAATTTCCGTAGCCCTCCACTGCGGCCCCAATAATCGTATCGCGGTTCTGGGACGTTCAACTTCTCTTATTATTCTACACTGCTGACCGACGAAAGTGCTGCGGTAATGAGTATCGAAGCTGTTCGGACGGCCCGATAAGTCATGAATTTACCTTGAGGCTCAAAACCTGCAACCGTGACACCAACGGCAATTTAAGTCCATGAAGTTTGAACGCATATCTCTTTGAGGTTGAAAGATGAAGAAACGCCAGGCCTGCGTGGTATAGGTGCATTACAGTCCCAGCAAAAGCTGGAAGAGCGGCCTTTCCGAGCCTTTTCAAAACACTCATTGGGTAACTACTGCGAGTACACGTGCTTGATACCCACTATAGGGGATTAATAATAAACTTTTGGGAAGTAGGCCGGCATTCGCTATGCCATTATTCGTCATTATTTTCAGAAGTGTGGTATCTGCTAAACACTTGCAAGGAATTTCGTGCCATTTGTCTATGCTGTGGCTGACGACGATGAAGAATTATGCGTGAAGTGGGTATGCGCCACAGTTAATAGGGGAAGAAGAACAAGCTTTTGTGGTGGTTTGGAGCATTGGACGTCCCACTGGTTAGGCTATTAGCACTGTGCGATGACCAGTTGTTCTTTCGCTGTTGTAAAACGCTTTATAAGTCGTATTAACGCGGTAGCTTTCCCGACACCAAACCTGCCTAAGGCAAGTTTGGCAACAAGTCACAAGCACCGGTGTAGCTCAGTGGCAGAATACTGGGCTGGCACCCAGCGGACCTGGGTTTGAGCCCCACTGTGCCATCGGTGCTAGATCATGCCTGCCTAAGGCTAGTTTCACAAGAAATCACAAGCACTGGTGTAGCACAGTGGCAGAATATTGGGCCGGCACCCAGCGGACCCGGGTTCAAGCCCCACTGTGTCTTTAGTGCAAAAGTAAGCTGGCGTCATCACATTAAAAAAAAAGTCTTTCCTTTATAATCACGACATTCGAAAGGGTTTGATGCCACCACCTATGTCATGACCCTGCAAGCTTGGGCATTCTGGCAATTAGGTAATCTTGGAACCGGCATCAGTAGGTCGTCGCTAACGTTACAAGAATACTCCAATTATTATCTGCTGTGGTTCAGTGACTATTTTTTGTGCCACTGCTTTATAAGCAACGTGTGGTTCGTACTCCCAAGAGGCATTTCAGAGGCAGGCAAAACGGGGAAAAGGGGGGACAAAAACGGCATCAAAAAGATAAAAACAAAAACTCATGCATGGCAGCTTAAATTCCAGTGCAGAAAGTAAAGCGCTCTCCCCGCTTCACTTCATGGGCTGACTGCTTAGTCCGGAAAATTTCGCGTATGAGTATCAACGTCCTCACAAGGGTGCAAAACCTTCATGTATTGCTTTAAACCAGCCATGACGTCGCAATTCGTTTTTGTTTCACAGTGTGTTCGCGTAATCTGTAGGCGCTGTCTCACTGCACCCCAAGTCAACGAAAGCGTTTGGCGTATGGCCTGATAACGCTTGCGATGCGGCAAGAAAAAAAAAAGATGCATCTGGTTTCATTGATTTCATGCACTGCCTACATACAGTCCCTGAGATCAACACGTGAGGCGTATAGTGATTGGTATCACTGACCAAAAGCCAAAACAAGAAATTCAGCGTGAGCTGAATTTCTTGTTTTGCAATCGCTTGTGGGATGACACTCTAAAAAGAACATTATAGATAGCTTGGATAGACGTCATGGTGGCAGCTTAATAACGGGCTGGTTCACAAACATGGTGGCTCTAATTGATGACGTAGAGGCAGCACAATCCCATAGCACTTCAGCTGCTTCAATACGATAACGATACGACCGGAATTCTATGGGCCTCAGTGCGTCAATAAAAATATAATCAAAGGGCAAGCAATATAATGATAACACTAACACGTGGTGTCGTAAACCTTGCGTGTGCCATGCGGTGCACCAACATGGCGGTTTCAGTGACGCCAGTGAAAGTCACCTATAGGGAGTACTCAGTGAGCATGCACTATTTGTTGCGCAATTCACGCGCCCACGTTATCAAGCCACGTGCTTGAATCTAGATGCTATCGTCGTTTACGGCGAAACCGCGAACACCATCAGCTGCAGGGCGTGTTCGGTGAGGAAAGACGCCTGTCAACGTTCCTGCCTGTACCAGGCAATTCTGTTTCTCTATCAGTCTTCGCGTGTTCCTAGACGTACACATACAGCCTCGCACTCAGCAGCCATCGCAGTCGTATACCCCCGCAGTGCAGGGCGGTTTGATGGCGCGCGCTTCACACATCAGTGGAGAGCACTGCATGCGTTCGCCCCGAAAAATGATTGACCTTTACGCGTGCACCTCAATTAAGGCATCGACCTGCGTAGTCAACTGTGACCGGTAAGTAAGGCCGACTGATTATCACCCTTAGCATGCACCACAACCTTTCGGTATTATTGTCAGACACAGTCGAAGGCAGAGAAAGCTGGTTTCTTTTCATACTACTTTATTGTAATATTATCCGCCCCGCCACGGTGGTCTAGTGGTTAAGGTACTCGGCTGCTGACTCGCAGGTCGGGGGATCAAATCCCGGCTGCGGCGGCTGCATTTCCGATGGAGGCGGAAATGTTGTAGGCCCGTGTGCTCAGATTTGGGTGCACGTTGAAGAACCCCAGGTGGTCTAAATTTCTGGAGCCCTCCACTACGGCGTCTCTCATAATCATATGGTGGTTTTGGGACGTTAAACCACACAAATCAATCAATCAATCACCAATCAATTGTAATATTATCCGAGGTTGTACATGTAAAATCCGCTGCATAATTATGGGGCATGTCGTAGTGGAGGACTTCGAGAATTTTCACCCAAATGGTGTTCTTTAACGTGCGCTGGCATCACTCTGTGCGCGGGCCTCAATAATATTTCGCCTTCGCGGAAACCGTGGTCCATCAGCCGAACACCTTAACCACTATAACACCACGGTGTAGCTTTCATATTATTACATCCTAATAGTTAACGGGGTAAGTTGGTGTGCTTCCATCTTGAACGAGCAAACATCGATAATACTAGGACCAGAAACAGACACGACTTTTCGTTTCTTTTGCTGGTTCTCATATTTCCGCACTGTTCATTCGTTCATATTACTTTCCATACCAGCTTAATGTCGCAAGGCTATAGTGCAGCTCAGTTTTAGCATGCAGGAAAGAGACACTGGCGAAGAAGTGAATGACAGACAACAGGATAAGCGCCCTCACGCTCAAAGTGAGTTGCGCCATAGCAATACGACATTACAGTGCATCAACTCGTCCCATCTGCAGTATTTGTTATACAAGCCTAATGCTTCTAGTAAGTAAGCGACAGTCACAAGTATTTCAGACTTGTTACGGTCGTTCATTAATTGGCTCATGCGTACTTGTGTGGAGCCCAATTTATCATTCATGAAACTGCAGTAAATTAAAATCACAAGGCGGTTTATACTGATAAATTATTTTCATAACAACGTTGACATTGTAGATTTATTACCAAATCGAAAATAAAGAGCCTGGACTTCACCTTAGAATTTCGCGCTGCGTCTTTAGCGCCTAAATGTTGATACGACGTCACAAATTTCGAAGTCCTTGTTTGTTTATTGCATTTTTTTTCGGGCTTCATGTTCTAAGAATACCGGTGGCTGTTAAGTAATGCCACATTCCCAAATTTATATATGGGATGACATCACCTCGTAGAAATCGCAAAAGCATTGAAAGTTGGGCTCTTGCAATGAAATTGACTTTTTTTTAGGGGTGAAGCTCCTTGTATGGCATCGCCCGAGCGTCCCCGTCGTAACCGCTTCTCGTTAATTCGTGAACCGCCATAGAGGGCGGTACTTGTACTATACGCTGAAAAATGCAAATGGTACGACACAAAGAGGGCATTACTTGTAGAACAAAAGGATTGACGTCACACGTATGAAAAGAAAGACGATCGCGCGACTACAATCGCATGTTCTTCGGCGGTGCCGTACGCCAGGGGGCGCTCTGTAGTACAATAAAAGGGCCGTTTTGGCGCGCGTGCTCATTGAAAGGCATCGGCGACAGAGGATGGACAAGGCTGCTGAGCGGCGTGCGCGCAGGGCGGCGGCTCGCGCTCGTAGAAGGAACCCCGACGTGCGGGCGCGCGAGGGAGAAGTGCGCTGCGAGCAGCCTGCAGTACGACAACGGGAGGCCGAAGTGGCACGGCGCAGTGGTGTGCGGACTGTTGCGAATCTGCCTCCGTGGATCCCACCGCTGCCACCACTGTTGCGGACGACGGACCGATCCCACCGCTGCCACCACTGTTGCGGAAGACGGACCGATCCCGCCGAAGCCACCACTGTTGCGAAAGACGGCGACGCCAACACGGCCCCGAAGGCGCCACTGCTTTCAACTCCGCCGGGAAGGTCACCAGCCGTTTGGTAGCGTATGTTTCTCAGCCCGCGACTGCTTCTGCGCAGAGCTGATAAGACGAGCGGACGAGACGACGGTGCGTTAAACAAGGTTTATGTACAGCATATATACAGAGGCGTTACAATTTCGGCACTGGGGCCGACAGAGACTCGAAGAGCCGAGCTCTCCTCTCTAACACATAGGTCAGCCTTTCGCCTAAGACCGCTGACTCACACACATGTCGGCTCTCCGACATGGGGACTCCTCTCTCGTAGGACCTCCGATCGCGACGCACCGCAGGGCTTCTTTTATAGGCACCGGGTCCAACCAAATGTCC